GAAAGGGCCTTGGAACTTCAACCCTCTACCCTAGTCCAAGCCACCTACGAGGGGGCACAAACCGTTGACGTTACGGTCGTAGACAATCTCCTTCAAGAGATTGCCAAGCGACCGACCATCCACCACCAACCAGTAGCCTACTCCTGGGCCGCCCCCGATACAGTCATGGCCATCGCGGTAGGACTCGGGTACGGCCTGGTCGTAGTCATGGCCTTCGTCCTAAATAGACGGGTTAGACGACTCCGCGATAGCTTTAACAGGTGCACGGAGGCAATGACGAGACAGATCCGTAGACGACCAAACCGGGGCGACAGCGCCGTCGAGCGTGGCAATTTGAGTCGGCGTCCCCAGGTCAATGAGTCAGAGTACGAGGACCTCCAAAGTCACCCACTCGAGGCGGTCACCCTTTCTATCACGGAAGGTGAACCAAGGGCCTAAAACACCACTAAGAGTCACCAGCTCAGACCCAACCAACCTACCTCGATACCTAATCAGTCTCCTAGACAATCATGCCTGTCATCCCCATTTATATGCAGGAAATGTCCCTCGTAATTAAAGCCCCACTTGCTACGTCATATATTCGTGTAACCCTCACACTCCCCTTTTAGAACGAGCAAGATGGGAACCCCTCACCATCGAGTGCCTTAACGACGCTCCTACCCGCTGCCAAGGCAGCCACTTTTTTTTTTTTTTTGATTTTTGAAGTTTCCTATTTTGTATCCTAGTCCCCTAAAGTAGAAACTCCTGCTACTCTCTTGGCTTGGAACTTTGAGTCTTCCAGACCAAGAGACCCAGGAGTCAGGCGCACCGGCCCAAACCTTAGAGTTCACGGCCGGAGCTCACTCCCTAAAACCCCTGATTCCGGTTAGAACTAGCCTGCAGGGCCAGGACTCGCCTTAGAGAAAACCCGGCCTCGACAAACCAAGCCAGAGGCCCGAGACCCAACCGCTACGAGCCTGCCCCAGTTAGGCGCTTGCGAGCTACTGAGTCACATTGAGACGGGAATGTTGTAACATGTCACTACAAGTTGTACACTAACACCCGAACAGGCGAGAAGACCGACTGAAGACAACCCCACAGCATATCCGACATGACATGCACCTTGTCGGAAGGTGCATCTCTGCCGTGGGGGGGGTATGTAAGGTTAAACTGAGGGCAGGACCAAGCCTGTCCACTCTGTTTACCATCGACCAAATGGAGAGATACAGCTTCAAAGGAGCCATGGGGTCAGCCACAAGCCGCCATCAATCATGAGGATTACCGACGCCAATCGGACCCATAAAAACAGCGGGATACCCATCTGGTGCCCTTTTTCATGTTAACAGAGGAGCTGATACAAATCAGCATTGTCACAATGCATTCCACGGACCAAGGGGTCCACCCGCGGCCCTCTGACGCTCCCTAGCGGACACTGGACGCTACCGCACCCAAGACGAACATTCAAAGGGGACATTACTCAATGATATTAACGTTACGGACCTTACTCGTGTGTTTAATGTCTGTGATGTAAATACACTGTGTGTTTGTACATGTCTTATGATCATTTGCATCAATCCTGTATGTTTCTTCACAAACTGTCTGTGTAAAGGAGTTTGTCCACAGAGAGGGAAGACATGGACACGCCCCTTCAGAAGTCAATATAAGCACCCGCAAAGCATTGTTCTTTCTCTTGCCTTCTCCTGAAATCACTATCGCAACCTCCCTGGCCATCGGCGTCCCGCGGCACGTGTCTCCTACTACGGTCGCGCCAGCACGCATCGGGCCTTCTACTCCGCCAAACATACTCTCCTCTGGCTCGGGACCTTACGAACCATTTCATCACCAGCCTCTTTCCTTGGCTCTGGACTATACGCGTGCAACCCATTCCGGACTGAGCTGCATACGCGTGGACCAGCAGCTGGACCAACTCACTGGCTTTGTACCTCCCGCCTGCCCAGACAAAGGAACCACGTGGACTGATCCCCAACCCAAATCCTTTCTCCATCCTCTACGCTCCTTCAAAGTAAGACTGTTCCTTTGTTAAATGTATGATTTGAATGATATGTGTACAACTCCTGCTTTTAACGTGACCAGAAATCCCTTTTCGTTATATTTTTACCCTCATTTTTGTAATCAATAAAATACTTTTCTTTAACTCAACCCCTCCAGAGTCGCGTTGTTAGATCTCGGAATATCCCTGGCCGATAAAACGTATTCTACACCCTTAGATTATAGATTGATATCGAGGCAAAGATTTGGTTGGTGTCTATGTGCAGATTTCTAACTCTGCTGGTGCCCAAAATAAATAACATAGACCTGTTGGTGGAACGGCGAGCTTCCGCTCCGAAGACTAGCCGCTCCACACTACCAAATTCATACTAATAAGTAATTATAATCAGCTAATATAAGTAGTCACCCTACATATGTTAGCTGATCCACCGTATGCTTCCCCCGCATCATGATGTATTGTCAAAGTTTTCATTCAACTCTGTGATCAACTTGCTTGCGGGGGAGATAAAATCCACAAATCAGAAATAGACATGGATGGCATTAAAAGCGCACTTTGGATACTGTGGCTGATGTCGGACACTTCTACAGAAAAGTTGCATAGTAGCCTCCACTCATTTGACATTATTTAGCACGCAGTAATTGGAAAGCGAGCACTCTGAGGTTGCCGAGTGTTTTAAAAGCAACAGCAGTGCCATAGCGTGTGCAGCACCTCACCAACTCATGTTTATTTCAAACCCTCACAGGCCTCTGGTGCTTCATTAGCCATATAGCTCACTCTTGGTCTTTGTTCTGCCAGCTCCGAGGATCTGTGCTGCGCGCGCCTTATTGAAGATGCTTCTCCTTAGCTGTCGTTAGCTGACAGTGCCAAACTCGGGCTCTGCAATGCTCCAAAAACACTTTTTGCTGTTTTAAAGGGGCTCTGATGTTTGATTATTTAATATTAGAGATCAGATGCAGAACTCGGAAGTACTGTTAATTTTTAAAAGGGTGACGTGACATGACTATCCCACTACAAAGTTTGATATCTATTATGAAGTATGGATCAAGAGTTTGAGCTATGAAGCGCTGAAGCTATAAAACTTTCATGACGTTCAGCTCTGTTCTTGATCTGGTGGTCCTCAGAAAGCCAAATCTTGTATTAGCATGAAATTGCAGTCAAGAGTAAATAAATGCAGGGCGTTTTTGTGAAGTCCTCTGAGACGCAACTGAAGTCACAATATAAGCAAAATATCTATAATTTTATTAAACATCTGAAAATGTATTTAAGTAAGTAACTTAAGTTACTTATTTATTACTAAAGAAAATTTATTATTGTATCAATCTAAAAATATTATTTCGTTTTTGTTTTTAGATAGATTATTACCATTAACAAATTCAAAAGAATGTAATTGATTGTAAGGGACTAAACTTCTGATCTCTTTCAAATTATTTTGCATATATCCACATACATTGCATGATGCGCATGTATGTAGCAACCAGTGGGGGAGGGTCCCAGCTCAAAAGTGGCCAAAATGACGTGCGCTGACATGCTTGCAATACCACCCCGGGCCGTTGGGGGTAGGGATGTAAATCGGCGACCGTTTAACCGGTGGTTGACCGTCACAGCGTTAACCGGTCAAAGCTGTCGGTTAAAAAAGAGAAAAAGGGGAGAGGGGAGGTCTCTTAATAACGCTATTTTAAGCCCTATTTGCACGGTGTGACGAGCGGGTCTGTATCTAGCTGTGTGCGCCCATGTATTATAAACTCCGGGACGACTCTCACGCCGCACGAGCCACATATGCACACACGCACGCGCGCGCACACACACACACACACACACACTTTCCCCCTCTCCATACGTAACATCCACACGCATCATCTCTCCCCTCTGTTAGCGTCAAAGTTGCACACTGGCGCGGGTCAGAACTACATTGGAGCTTACATTTACACACACACACACATACATACACACACACATACACACACACATACATACACACACACATACACACACACATACCGGTCTGTCGCGCTCCTCTGTGTCACGGAGCCCAAAGGATTCGCGCAAATACGCGGCTCCAGTCCAACCACATGGAACATGTTTGTGTTTATGGTCCTCGGGATCAGCTCCACACACATCACTTGTATTTAAACTTTTGTGAAGACCTGTGAGACGCGGCTCGTCACTCGCTGCTCTGACCATGTGAACGAGCCGTCGTTTGCTGCTAGAAAGTTTTGGTATTAACCCGCAGCTCAGCAGAATGGGAAGATTAAAAAAGCAGTTCTCTGTGCGCAAAGGTGCCGGAGCTGTTGCGGGTTTGGGCGCCGCTGTCTCAACTCTGATCCAGTAGAACGCAGAGCTGCTCTTATGAAAAGTACGCGGCTCGAAATGGCTGTTATTTCAAAGAACGTGGACTATTTTAAACTACGCTGTTAACCGGTTTCAACCGGTTAATGAGGCTCGGTGGTCGGTCATGAAAATTCATAGTTTTTTACATCCCTAGTTGGGGGTGGACCCAGAAGAAGAATTAGCCAATGCTAACATATAGCGTTAGCAGACCTCTCAAAAACGTCTTTACAGGATGGACCAAAAGTTGGCTCTTGGCCCAAAGCTCCGTTCCACATGTGTGTCAATGCTGAGGGGGGTGGATTTTTTTTGGTCCACTCTAGTTTACTTGCGGGGAATTTTTGAAGTCTCTCGTTCAAATGAATGGAGCTGCGCCGGCTGACGCATGCGCAGATGCGTTTTTTCATAATTTTCTTGTGGGCGGGACCACTTGCTGCCATCTTGGATTGCTCCATGAAAGCACTTTTCATGGCCAACTCCTATGAACGGCGGAGATAGGCGTGACTCTGTCCGTTAATGTGTACAGTCTATGGTAGCAACATACTCTCCTGCGCACTGGGATCCGGCCCAAATGCCTTGGGACCTTACACTATGTTTTGCTGCTCAGTTTGGACGTCAGGACAATTATGTCACTATGAAATTGACCCTTTTTTTGTTCATGAACCCCTCTTCTTTTTCTTTACAGATAGTAAACCAGAGAGTCTAGAAGCTCACAGGTTTAAGACGGCATTCTTCACACACCCCACTCTCACTGAAATTGGACGCAGACTGGTGTCGCACTACTTTCTGCTTACACCGGAGGAACTGGTCATGTGGGAAGAGGATCCAGAAAGCTTTGGTAAAAACTCCATCCTAGTCTGCAAACCTCTTTCAAATTGACCTCAGAAAGGTTTATATATATTAATATAATTGTTGTCTTCTTAGTAAATAGAGTAAAACTGGATTACACTCACACATTCAATAATTTGATGTGTGCAATCTGAGTGCTCTTATTTCTTTTCTCTGCTGTAATGTGCGCAACGATGACACTGAAATTTCTCCACTGTGAGACTAATAAAGGTTCATCTTATCTTATCTTATCTTATCTTATCTTAATTAGTTATGTTGAAGTTGTGAGTAAGTGAAGGCTTTCCAAGACCTTTTTATTTATTTATTTTTATTGTGGACATGACAGTATATCACATTACAATTATTAGGGAATGGTAGGCGGGTTAAATGACTATTAAGCCTTTAAAAGTATTTCTAGAAGTACCACAGTTGTCTACATATAATAATACATGTTTCAAATTTTGGTCTGATTTTACTTTTACATTTTTTGTTGACTCTTTATGTTGGACGAACTACATGTTATTCTTGAAATAATATAACAAGGCACCACAGCTTTAATCCATGAAAGGACAAACATAAACCGATAGTGATCTCCAAGTATCAACTCTCAATTCAACCCAGCTTTTCTATCTTCTCAGCTGTCGAAGAAACCGGCGGTGATTCTTGGAAATACAGTTTGCGGGTAAGTCGAAAAAACACGTCCCTTCAACTGTATTCAACTTTCAGCACTTTCAGATCACTGCCATCTGTTGAAATTCATGTCACCTCAGTGGGGGCTGCATTTGCTTATATACTCGGCAGTGTTTAGTTGAGAGGCAGTGTGCAGATTTCGACATCTCTATTCTTTTGGTGGTCCCCAGGGCGTGAGCCGTCATCTCTCAGGCGCCGTCAAGTTGTGCGGCTTTGGCTTATCTCCAGCTGTTTCAGTCGGGGCATAATCTTCATCCACTTCTGTTTTTCAGTTTTTCTTTTTTTGCCAATCCCCCCTCACTCCCCTTCTTGCCCCCAATAACCTCTATCTCATGAATGAATATGAATGATGCTCATTCATTTAATGCCTAATGACAAAGTGCAATAATGTTTTTTAAAGAACAGGGCTCTTGTAGTCTGTTCGTTCCCTACACGTGTTAAGATGGATTTCAGACAAGGCAAGTTTATTTGTATAGCACAAATCATACACGAGGCAACTCAAAGGGCTGAGCAAAACAAGATGGAAACCGTTACACAAGGCATTACAAATCATAAATAATCACAGTACATTAAAACAAAAATAAAAATATTAAAGTTGTATGCATGGCTAAACATAACCTTTTTTAACCTGGATTTAAGCATTGTCAGAGAAGAGGCCTGTCTCACATTTTCAGGAAGATTGTTCCAAATTTTGGCAGCACAAATCTGAAATAATAATTATTTCATTAGGAGTTGTAAAATCTACTTTATGAATCTACACATTTCTTACCTCTTATTGATTTCAAGGTCCATGTCATTGGGACTAGAAATATAGCTCTAGTTCTAATCACCTGTCGCTAAACATTTTTTATTTTCTATAATTTTTTTGTTGATTTGCTCAGTGTTCCTTTTTTGCCTCTGCAACATAGTGATGAAAAGCTGATGAAAAATTAGTCAAACATTTCTCCAATTTGGCAAAACTTATCTTAACTTGAGCACATTGTGACTGCCTTTAAACAAGATTCGCCAATGGGACTGAGCAAAATGATCTCAAACAGATACAAGAAATGTCTCCTGTGGAATGAGAAAATAAAGCAGCAGTTCTTGAAATAAAACTAAATGGCTCTGTCCCATGAGCATATCATGTTTTAAGACTGATGAAGACAAAAACTTCATCACGAAATTCAAGCAATTATTACCTCATGTTTTATCTTTTTTTTTTTGCAGTGTATGACTCCTGCAGATCATAGATTTGTCTTGGGTTGAGAAATAAGTGTGAATAAAAAGTAAAGTAAAGCACAGTGGGCATGTTGAGATGGTGGTTGTAAGAAGGGCCAGGAGGAGCGATTGTGTATGGGAAGAAGAATCTTACTCAAATGGTAATTGAAAAGTTAACAGAGCATTTGAATTTGCATAATGTGTTACTGTTTAACATACTAATTCTAACTCTCTCAGGTTCACAATGCATTTTTTGTTTGTTTTTGTTTTGTTTTTTACAATATTTGAAATCCCCATTATTTTTTGTTTAAACCACCACTTTAAGAATGTAATTACAAAAAAAGGAAGAGCACAGGGACTGGCCTCCTGCTGGTGCCCAGAATCAGAACTAAACATGGGGAGGCAGCATTTCAGATTCATGCTGTATTTCATATTTATAGCTATAATCTGGAACAGTTTTCCTGAACGCGTGAGACAGGCCTCTACTCTGACAATGTTCAAATCCAGTTTAAAAACCGTTCTGTTTAGCTGTGCATACAACTGAGGGATTTGTATCTTTACTCTTGTTAATGTAATGTGATTAATTATGAAGTTGAGGCAGCATACTTAATATAACAATTCAACATACCTTTCACATTGCCAATGCCGACAGAACTGTCTCCAATTGGGCTAGCCTGGTCTTACCACACCATAGTACAAATTACATTTCGTACTAAGGTCTGGAGGTGCTCCATTGAGCTCCGTTTACAGGTGGGGAGGGGTTAACTCATTTTGCAGATTGAAACGATTGAATCTGAGTTTACCGTAACGTATGTGATGCACCCAAGTGAGTCGTTAGCATTTAGCCTAGCCATCTCCTTAGCCGCTAACAGAGCCCGAGGGGAGTAGCGCCACAAGTTTTGCCAGCATTTACATTTGCTAAACATTTCTCTTGCTCCGGCTTCAATTTCTTGATGGAACCAGACCGGATTACTTTACTATCGCATTCTTCGCCATTGCCCAACTACAACCTTCCCGTTCGACGCAAACTCTTAACCCCTTAAACTCCTATATCTGTTTTGGCTCGTGCACAAAAGTTCGGCATACCCAAATGTCTTTGCTTATTTAAAAACACATCTTACATCTCACATGCTTGTGTGATGCATCATTTTAAAGCTAGGCCCTTCTAGTTTATGTAAATATACACTGAAATAATGTATGTCATTCCTATTTCACTCTTTTTTTTCCTTTTTTTTTAGCCTCGCCTAAAAAATTCAATGTATAAATGACCTAAAAAAAGCCTACTTCATTGGAAGAAGAACATTTTCAACGCCAATTTGTTCATTATGTTGTTGACGACAACTGTGTAAAGTTTCAGACTTCTTAGTTTTATAGTTTTTATGCAGTTTCTCTGTTTTATCAAGTAGTGCCATTCGGAACCAATTTGGCAAAATGTGTTCCAAATTGTGCCAAACTGCTTTACTAGCATTTCACCATCATAAAAAGCATATTTTTTAGTTTTGGTACTTATAAGTTACAAATCTGTGTGATTTTTTTTTTTTTTTTTTTTTTACATTTTTTCAAAATAATTTTTTTAGTAGTGTAAATGCATATAAAATATGCGCAGCAGTACTAACAGCGTCTTTACACACGTTTTTACTGTGAAAATGAAAAGGGTTCCTACAAGTCCCACCCATCGAAAGAAAGCTCTCTTTCTTTGTCTTTTGTCCTGCGGACTGAACCCTGCTCCTATCTCTTCATGGAACCTCTCTTTTTGAAGCTAAGGACTCAAGGAACACGTCGATATGATGTTTTTGGGGGTAAACAAAGCTCAAACTTGGTGAAATGTGAAAGAGAAGCCTGAAACATTTTCGGAGCGTTTTTTTTGCAACAGAAAAATGCATATTTTTGGATTATTTCTGAAGAATGAATTATACTTTGGCAAATACAAGTGGATATTCTTTTTCAATGAAGACTTACGGAGAGAAAGAGACTAAGCAAGGATGGGGAAAGTCTAATTTGTTGGAGCAGCAGAAGACAAAAGGTAAGAAACTTATACAAACACGATTTTTTTTGTGCCCATATTATGCGTTATATCTTTTTAATGCAAAGTCTGATATCGTTTACACTTACATATAAATATAGCTGAGAAAATAAGCTTTAAAATGATATATGGGCTTGTTCACACTAAAGGGCACAAAAGTGTGACAAAAGGCCAAAAATTAGATTTTAATAATCAGAAGATATTTTATGTTTTTCATGTTTCCAAGCACCTCCTCTGTCCATTAGAAGTTGCTAGAACATAACTGTTTCATACATTAGACAAGCTTCCTATAGCGGCCCTGTTTATTTTATGTAACGGACGTGATGATTTGACGGAATGAGCTTTGTGGAAGTTTGATGGTATTTTCAGATGTTCACATTTGATTCAGAGATTCTATTTTTTTACACAAAGTAGATGCAAAGTAATACTTTCATATTGTCAAGCAATTAAATGTGAAAACAGACCAGATTTTTTTTTTCTCAAGTTTAATTTTTAGAGAAAAGAGGACCGTCCTCATCACGTCCGTTATACATTTTTCAGGGGTCATTTAATTCATAAATTATTTTTAATTTTTTTACGATTCCTTTTTATATCAAGTGATTTCCTTCTGTTGTGTTAACCATGTAAATCTTGTGGGATTTCATCTTCTGCTTTTTCAGACTGAGGACATTTTATTTTCTATGTAACTGGCGTCACAGTAGAATGGTCCAATCAGAGGCTCATTTGGTCGTTTAAAATGTCGCTAAACATTTTAATGTCAATCTTTCCTTTTGATTTTATCCACACTATCTCTTCAATCTGTCTGTGTTTGAAATCTTTTTTACAATCTATGAAAGTAATTTTAGTTTTTAAGTTATGACCTTTTAAAGTCCAGATACTTCAATTGTCACTTTACTGTGAACACACTCATATAGCTTGTGGCTTATGAAGTTCGAAATACATCTGCTATTGCCAGCAGAATTATTTTTTTTCTCCGCCCCGCCGGCGGGGGCTTGTGAGCTTAAGAGGTGTCACCCACAACTAACTACAACGCCCGCCCCCCGCGCTCGCTGATTGGTCGGATGGAATTCAACCGATTGTAATCGCAAACACAGGGACCAGACCAAGACATTAAATGCAGTGAAATGATGATTGAGCGGAGTGCACAGATGGCTAAGGCCAAGCTACATCCGTGCTAACAAGAAATCAAAATCAACAGGACCTTACCCTTCGAATCTCCCTCTACTTCTCTATCATTGGAGACTTGTTTTCACGTGCGGTTTTGTACATTACACCCTTCTCTGCTCTCCTCTCCCCATGTTCAGCCCTGCACAGAAGTTTTGTTTCTGGATATCTTCCACAACTACAGCCAGACGTTGACCCCAGTGCTGCTTGAGATGGTGCAGAATCTTCAAGGTTATTTACTCATTCATCATTTTAAAATGGAACGAGTCAAATACCAATTGTTCCACTTTCTTTCGTTTAGTCTGTGTTACATTGTCTAGCTCAATTTAAAGCGGCGGTACTTGACTTTCAAACCATTGTCCCTCAAAACAATTTGGTTCTATCACTAATTGTCACAACAACAAATTGTCACATTGTCAGAAAGTATTTTTGGCCTCTCTCATACAATTAGCTCTTGGTTTCCACAGGGTTGTTTCTTTAAGTTTGCAAGAGATACAATTCTTATTAGATTAAGTCTGCATTTGTTCACAACATTATACTTTTACAAGACTATTTGTGTGTTTAATTCCATAAAATAAAATGTATTATTAGAAAAAAGGTTACTCCTGCTTTAATGGCTGCATTTCTAAATCCTGACATGATTCAAATCTTCAAAAGAAAATGATTTATGGCTCACATTCAATAAGAATAAGAGCGATTCTAAAGATATGATTTGTGTGACAACTGTGTTACTTTTAGGTCCAACCAACGTGGAAGACTCTGTTCAGTTATTGATGAAAGATGCAGGTGAGTTAAAGTGTTTTACAAATACTTTCACAACAATTTCCAAATATGACGCAACTGCAAATTTGGAGGTAAAGCGCTCTCACTCCAGTTACAATTTCAAATAATTATGTTTTTGAGTAATTGTACAACATTTTTTCTTTCCACATTCACGCTGCTCTTTTGTGTCATATTCCTCTTTGTTGCCATAACCACTGCTTGCACAAAGGCTATTTACCGAGTCAAGGAGAAAGAGAACTGTATAATAAATGTTTTCCAGTGGGACGCAGCAGTGGGTTGACGTTGCAGAGAAAACGACAGACAGGTGATAAAGCTGTACGGTGATAATCGCAGCAGCGTGTAATTGTGGCCAAGGGAGAGGGCTAACGAGCTAATGGCTGATTAAAAACAGCAGGGTGACTCCATTTGAATTAAGTGCGTCATTATAACATGCATTCTCTATAAATGTTTAATTAAGATAAATTATGTAAGATGTAGATTAGACAAGACAAATAAGATATTAGTGGAAAAGATTGAGAATGTTGCAGCCAAATGGCGCAATCTTGTTGTAATTGTGTTGACTTCAAGCTTCTGCATTTTTCTGATCAGATTTAAAATTCATTCACACGTTGAGTTCTACTTGAACATAAAGTTGGGCAATAAATCAAATTAATTGGATGCTTTTTCTAATAGATGTAAAAAAGTCCACAAGGTCCACAAAGAGGTCCACAAAGAACAGAATGTTCTCAGAAAAAAAACGAGACCAGATGTCTGCATCTGTACAACACTTTTGTGATTGTTTGGAATGGATCATCATTATTATTTAGAAAGTAAAAAGAAAAAAGTCTGAGGTACTCTGACTAACTCAAAAATGCTTTGATGTGGAAGGGACGTAGCCCACTTACTGGTCTTCATCAATGCTAGTCAGTATTATTTTGAAAGTATTTGAAATTAGAATATTTAGCTTTCTTCATTAAACAATCAAACTTAAAATCTGTGGAAATCGCAAAGTGGGCAATAAACATTAAGACAAAATGTTTATTGTCCAGATGATTTAAAATAATCACATTGGGCAACCCCAACATTAAGATATTCTCAGTTACATGTAGCAAATACTGTGACATACAAGTGCTTCTCGTCGTCGATCTTTGGACTCGTGCAGTCACTGGCTTGGATTTCCCAGGCCCCGAATGCAAGGCACGTTGTTCCCATCATATGGTTTTGAAGTGGAAAGTTCGTTCAGTCACTGTTTTGTCACTGCACTCCTCGCTCCTGCCTTTAACGTCTGTATTTTGTAGACACAGCAGCAGCACTTTCCATTCTAACAGCCTGTCCCCAAGCACACTGCTGCTCTGTGATTAGCCTAGTCGCCCAGTGGTCTGGCCTGCAAACCAATATGCGTCTTCTCATCCTGCCACTCCCAATTAATATGTCACCATTATTTTTAATCAAGCCTATTCAAAGCCATCACAATTGCATATTTTTTCAATCCTGAAATGTGTTTGATTCAAATCATGACTCAAAAAATTAATTGCCATCCACTGAAAGCTTCAAAATACCTACTGTGGCATAAAAATGTGGCACATTCAGGACGCCTTGCACAGTTGGCGCTTAATGACCAAAGAAAAACGATGATGTGTTCTGCATTCGTAACAGCCTCTATAGTAGCCACCTGCTTGGACCATTTTCATAGCTCACAGATGCTGCAAATTGGCACTCTGCTGCGAAACATCCGCTCTGTCAGATTAGTTGTACCTGACAGCTGTATGGCAACAACACTTATGGCACATATGGCAATTGTTCCCCCCCCCACCTTTTTAATAGCGCACCGACAAGGATGTTAACTGATTAGTTGCCGCATTTGTTTACACACCGCAACAACTTCATGCAAAACAAACTATTTTAAATGGGAAAAGGATGTACAAATTGTCCCAGGATGGTGTGAAAACTTTTCTTTTTTTTTTTTTTTTTTTAGATAAACCAGATCGGTCTGTGCTGTTTATTTCAAATTCACACACTTGCCTCTTTTAAGGCCAGGCTTATGCCTTTTGGTTCTTCTAGTTAATGGAAACGACCTATACACCATCAAGGAGGTTTTACTCTGTAGAAGCAGCTGTTTATGCACTTTTGCTGAAAATAGCTGAACTGTTTTTGGTTCTTTCAAAAGACAAGTTGGACGTAATTATTACCTTGTCTTTCCTTCTGTCAATGTTTTCATACTTTATCCACGTAACCTGTCAAATATTCTGTTTTTCTATATACTTGCAGTGTACAATGCAGTGGGTCTGGCCGCATATGAGCTTTTTGATAACGTGGACTTTGACCAGTGGTTCAAAAACCAGCTGCTTGGGGAACTGCAAGTCAGTCATCACAGGTATGGAGCTGAATTTCTTATCCACCTATGGACCCATTCAGGACTGGAGTGAAGTGGAAGATGATGGATGTTTGAGACAGCTTACTATCGAAAACTAACAGAAGCGTGCTACTTGGTTTATGTATTCATGGCTTCATCAATATAAAGAGACAAAGAGTGACTTTTACTTGTAATGGCAAAGGAAGGTTTCTCACCCATCAGGTTTTCCCGACGTTTCGTTCTTCATCTAAAGCACTTCTTCAAGGGAATGAAATTTCAGACAGCGCGTTGGTGATTTATAACCTATGGGTGTGGTTAGCCACACCTAATCCTGATGCTAACTCATTAACAATCTAAGGTCTGTTTGATGTGGAAGGAAGGAGGTCTAACGACCCTGCTGAGGCTAACGATCCTAACTCATTAGCATGTCACAGACCTATTGTCTGCTGAGATTGCTCGAGTGGAGTGCAGGTCTCTCCACTCCTAAATCATTAGCACGTCACTGACCTATCTATAGTAGCATCAGGATTAAGGTGTGGCTAACCACACCCATAGGTTATAAATCTCCAACGCGCTGTCTGAGATTTCATTCCCTTGCAGAAGTCCTTTAGATGAAGGATGAAACGTCAGGAAAACCTGCTAAGAAGTACAGATGATGGGTGGGAAACCTTCCTTTGCTTTGACTAATCCCTGTACGACTGAGAGCAAACACAAACTTTTACTTGTAATGTTTGTTTTTATCTATATAGCACATTTTTACAGACCAAGGTCACACAGAGCCCTTTACAATGTTCAGAAACCAGATATTTTACAGATATATGTAAAATATTGTAGAATAAACCACAAATACAGAATCATGTGAATGTTATTTTCAGTCAGGGTCTGAGTACAACCCTTTGTAACAGGGGAACATCTAAAAATATTCTAAATTTTCTCTTTTTTTTACTAAGCATGAGAAAATGAACAGACTTTTGGATGATGTTATGTTAGATGTCTAAAGCCTAGAGTATACTTGCGCGGCGTGGCTTACGTTAGCGGTTGCGGTGGACCTACGTAAGCACAATTGATGTTATACTGGCGCGTTCCCCTTACGGAGTTTTGAGGAGAATGTTGTAATCCCACAACAAACCACATGAGGGCGATCACACAGGAGCGGTCCCATTTACGCTGCTACTTTGTCCTCTTCAGAACAACAATAGCAAACAAAGCTGTTTGAGTTCATTACACGTGTTTCTACTGCAGGTTTATGTGATAGTTTTATGGATTCATTATTTTATAAGTCATTTCAATTGTGATTCTGTGAATAAAGACACAGTTCTTGTTGGAAACATAGTTATTATTAAATAGTTTTCAGCACAAACAGCAAAACAATAATAGTGGTAAATATCTGAGACAAACATAAACGATTTACGAGTGCAGGAGGAAAGCAACAAACGCAGCTACGATTCAAACAAAGACAGGAACAGTGCAAAACAAACGACTGCACAGTTTATACGTTATATATATGTTAGATATAAGTTATATATATATGTTAGATAGTCCACAGTCTCCTGTATATCAGGCTCTGAGCCCAAACTGCTTTTCCTTCGAAGCACAAAGCTCTCTGCTCCATAGTGCCTCGTCCATGTCCCTGCTGCAGCCGCTTCATGCTTCCTTCCAATACACACACACGGACCAATCACAGCGGAGATTCCTTGCGGCGACCCTTACGTAGTTAGAAAATTCCGATGCTGCAGGGCAGGCAACGTAAGGGCCTTGCGGTGACCAACGCGTTGCGCAAGTGACGTCACGTCACCTCCGTAAGCTCCGCGCCACGCGAGTATAAACTAGGCTTAAAGTAGCGCTGTTAAACGTCTGTACTCTGCCACCAACTCATGTCAAACTTTAGCCAATGACTTGTTATCGCTCGTTTTAAAGCTCAGCAGAAACCATTGATTAATACATTATAATCCATTCATCTATTGAGCCTAGGTAAGTGTTATAGGGGTCTCAGGTTCACAGCTATAGTGCCCAGGCCTGAATTTACATTCTGGGACAGGTTATCAGAATCAGTCAGAATCATTTTTTTTGCCATTTAAGTAGCAGGAAGTGACAGACTAGGAAATTGCTTTGGCTCGATGCAACAGTCAGAAAAGAGAGGTAAAGAATAGACTAAGGCGTAACAAAAATCAGCATAAACTTCTAAGCTATAACATTTAAAATAGAATTATTACGATTACAATTACTATATACAATATGCAAGTTTTCATTGTATTTACAGCATGGAGAGCCCCATTTTTTATACAAAATTAATGCTGCAGCAGAGACAAAATGAATATATACATGCACTGCAAAAAGTGATGAAAAATAAGTAAATAATAATTTGGCAAAATATATCTTAATTTGAGCACATTTTGACTGCCTTAAAACAAGATTGGCCGATGGGACAAGCATTCTTTGAGAAATACTACTCTTCCATAAAGGCCAGATTTGTGCAGTGCACGACTGATAGTTGTCCTATGGACAGACTCTTCCACCTCAGCTTTAGTTATCTGCAGTTCATCCAGAGTGATCATGGGCCTCTTGGCTGCATCTCTGATCAGTCTTCTCCTTGTTTGAGATTAAAGTTTGGAGGGACGGCCGGGTCTTGGTAGATTTGCAGTGGTCTGATACTCCTTCCATTTCATTACAATTGCTTGCACAGTGCTCCTTGAGATGTTTAAAGCTTGGGAAATCTTTTTGTATCCAAATCCGGCTTTAAACTTCTCCACAACAGTATCTCGGACCTGCCTGGTGTGTTTCTTTGTCTTCATGGTTCTCTCTGCGCTTTTTTTTTTTTTTTTTTTTATTGTAATTTATTATATTCCACACCAAGTAGAGAGGTAACAGTTCAAAATAAAACAAGAATACAAAAGTAAATACATTTTATCCCCCCCCCTCCCCCCACCCCCCCACCCCCCCCCACTTCCCCCCCCCCCACTTCCCACCCCCCACCCACTTCCCACCCCCCTCCCACTTTCCCCCCCTCCCACTTCCCACCCCCCAAGATGTCCTGCGACAGGTTTTACCCAAGGCTACAAGCAGTAAAACAAGAACAAAACACAAAACAGAATATCCAAATAATGATAGTAATAATAAAATTTTGGATTAGGTTCCTTAACATGGAAAAAAAAAAAAAAGTTAAAGAAAAAAAAAGAAAAAAAAAAAAAGTAGACACAAGAAAATGAATAAATACAAAAATAATATTATATAATATTCTTCTTACAATGTTCTTAGATTTAATAGATATATAATAATGTTATTCCAAATCTTAATAAAAGTTTCAGGTTTACCACTTATGTTATATTTGATCTTTTCAAGTTCCATGAACATCATCATATCTTTAAGCCATGTGGATACTTTCGGAGCTGTTGTTGATTTCCATTCTAAACAATTCTTCTACGTGCGAGTAGTGTTGCAAATGCAATGCTCTTCTGATGGGTCTTTTGGCTCTCAGGTAAGACACCAAAGATTGCTAGTTCAGCACATGGTAGTAGTGATATGTTTAAGGACTCTGACAGATGTTTACTGATCATGGTCCAGTAGTACTGGAGATGTGGACAGGACCATATCATGTGAGACATATTTGCCGGAGACATGTTGCACCTGTTACAGCTATCACTTACATTTGGGTACATTTTTGAAAGTTTATGGTTGGTGAGGTACAGTCTGTGGACAATTTTAAATTGAATTAGGTTAAGCCGGCTACAGGATGTGCTGTCATTTACCAGCGTTAAGGCATTAGACCAATCTTCCACACTCATTGTCTTATGGAGTTCCTTTTCCCATTGTGTTTTCATTTTTTCCAGAGATCCCGTAGTAGCCTTTGAAATTACACAATTAAGTTTTGAGATGAGCCCCTTTTTGATAGGTGGGACATCCAAAATAAAATCAGTTATTGTGGGGGAAGGGGCATTAGGAAAGGTTTGGAAATTTAATTTAACAAAGTTTCGGACTTGAAAGTATCTAAACAAATGAGATTTTGGAAGTTTGTGTTTTTTGCAGATCTCATTAAAATTAACAAAAATGTTTTTAATGTAGAGGTCTTTTACTCTGATCAGACCAAGTTTGTGCCAGGTAGAATAGCCTCCATCTGAATTTGGGGGGGAGAAAGCATAGTTATTACAGATAGGGCTATGAATAGACATGTCCTGGGAATGTAATGTGCGTCTGAACTGATACCAGATCTTTAATGTGGATGCAACCACTGGGTTAGAAGTGAATTGGTTGATGTTAACAGGCATTTTGGATGTAACTAGTGCCATTAAAGAGGTGGAGCAGGATTTGGCTTCTAGTTAACACAAACTTAATGATTGATCTTGCATCCACATTAGTATTTGTGTGAAGTTGGCACTCCAGTAATAGTGTTTTAAGTTTGGGAGCGCTAAACCGCCTTTTGAGGTATGTCTCTGTAAGAACTCTGCCTTTATCCTGGGTGTTTTGCCTTTCCACAAGAATGAGGTGATTAACGTATTTACCGTCTTAAAAAAGGAGTTTGGTAAGTGAATTGGTAAGCATTGAAAAAGATATACAAAAGCTGGTAATACATTCATTTTAATACAATTAACTCGGCCAACGAGACTAATATGTAGGTTATCCCATCTATGCAGATCTGCTTTAAGTTTATCTATTATTGATGGGAAATTGTTTTTGTATAACTCAGTCATACTCTTGGATATAAAGATCCCTAAATATTTGAATTTTTCTGAACATATTTTAAATGGAAGGTGTTTTTGATCAACTTCATTAGCATGCTCATTCACAAGGAAACATTCACTTTTGCCAAAGTTTAATTTATATCCAGAAAAGGGGCCAAATCTATTCAGTAATTTAACAATATGTGGGATTACAGAAATAGGATCGGATATGAAAAGCAATAAGTCGTCTGCATATAGGGAAATTTTATTAATCGTATTAAATCTTTCAATGCCTTTAAATTTTGTTTCAGATTTAAGTGCGATTGAGAGGACCTCTATTGTCAGGGCAAAAAGTAGTGGGCTGAG